ATAAATATGTAATCTGGCTTGTTCTCTGGGACTCTTGAAATTTGCCACAAGAACATGTCTCAGAGAGCCTCCTTTAGCCTGGATCCCAGAATGAGAAGATATGTATAGCTGACCTGCAGAAGACTGGCAAACTAATACAGTCACGCTTGACATACAGCCCTCATGTAATGTGTACGATTACTGTTGTAAGTCATTGAGCTTTTGGGGTAATTTTTTAGTTCTTGCAGCAAAAGCTGACTAACAAAGAAATATCATTTTTCTGTTATACTAACATTACAATATGCCCTTAATTCTCAATTTCAGTACACATGAAGTTTGTAAATTGGAATATACAGATATTACTTTATCTTGTTTAAAATATGCATAACATTTTTAGAGATAAAAAATGACTAGAACATCTGTCTATACTGAAGACAGTCATTTTGTAATTCATAATTCACATTTTGATGTATAAATACCATGACAGTAAGCATGGCACAGATTCCAAGTATAAATCCACAGAATTCAGGAAAGATTCTCCACAAATCTAGAAAGTTAGAAAATAATAGGCCTTGATGTCCTCCAATTTAGTTCTAATAAGTACTCCTTTTCTAATTTAAAAATACCTTAAAAATAAATAAATACAGCAGTAGACTGCAAAATGTACTCAAAGAAATAAGCAAAAAAACCTAAAGGTATTATATAATTCTAATTTTGTGATTACTATACATGGAAAACCAGAAACTTTCACAATAATTTCAGCACATTAAGAAACACACTTCGAAAAAAGTTGATTTGTTTCAAAGATTTTTTTCCATGACAGAGAAGAAACTGCTTACTATTCCTACCTTGAATACTATCACCTACTATTCATTACTGGATCTATTCCAATGCCTGGCTCCTGTTCCCACCTCTCCACCAAAAAGCTCTTATTAAGTTCACAAGTGACTGTTGCCAGAATCAATGGTCACTTTTCTATCCTTTTCATCTGTGGCCTCTTTTGGCAGCACTAGACACAAATCACTGCTACCTCCCCTCCTTTTAGAAGTGCTTTCTTGGTTTTGTGATACTACACTTTCCTGGTTTGTCCCATCTCACAGGCTTCTCTTTTTAGCTTCCTGTATTTACTCTCCTTGAAATGTACTGTGAATGCTGGTATTCATCAGATAGGGTCAAAGGGCCCGCCTCTTTTTCCTCTCTTCACTCTTCCCCTCTTAACCATTTCAACCATTTTAAAAATAACCTATACTGAGGCTACTTTCTAAATGATTATCTCCAGCACAGACCTCTCTTTGGAATTCCACTCACACCCAACTACCTTCTTGGCATACCCACTAAGACACCTAACAGGCATTTCATATTTTCCATGGCTTTCCCCATCTCAGAATACAGTATCATACCCCCATCAATCCAATTACTCACACCATACCTAGGTCATTCCTGTCACTTCCTTCTCCCTTAACCCATCACATCCAATCCACCAGCAAATTCTGTCAATAGTACCTCCAAAGCATAGATAAAATTTATTCACTTCTTGCCAACTTCACTGTCACCAAGCTACTCACATCAATTTCTATAGTAGCCTTCTAATTCACTCCTAGTTTCTCTTCACCCCAACTGCTCCCATAACCTACTGCTTTCACTTAAGTGCCAAAAAGTAATCTTTTTAGAATGGACAAAAGGCCAGCTTAAAAACCTTCCAATGGCCTCCAATGCACTTTCTCAGTATCATGGTCTCCAAGGGTCCTTTCCTACTTTTTTAAACCTCCTCTCTTGCTTATTAAATGTGCCAAGTTCTTTTCAGATTCAGGGCCTTACACACATTAATCTGGTAGCTCGCAATGCCTATGTGCTTGAACATTCCCTCCTCTCCTCTTCCCTCACTTCATTTAGCCATTACTAGGCATTCAGTTACACAGTCACCTCTAGAAACTGCCAAAGATATTACCTCCTTTATTACCACCAGTTCTTTATATTGGAATGAGTATATTTCAGAATAGTTCAATGTATACATTCTGAAAACCCTTGAGAACATTTCTTAATATCAAAAAAGCTGATAGAAATATAGAATCCTATCTTAACTGGAAAGGAACACAAAGATCACCTGCTGTCTTATTACATATGATAAAAACAAATACAGGGAAATTAAATGAGAATAGATGATAGGTCTTCTGACCCTATGTCTTAACTGGAAAGGAACACAAAGATACCTGCTGTCTTATTACATATGACAAAAACAAATACAGGGAAATTAAATGAGAATAGATGATAGGTCTTCTGACCCTATGTTCAATAACCTGGTCAACCCTCTTCCAATTGTTTATTTCTACCTTCTTTAGATAACCCCAAGTCACAAGGGGGAAAAAAAACCCTTAAAATTCATGGAATCACAAAGGGCCCAAAATATAGTCAAAATAGTTGAGAATGAACAACAAAGCTGAAGGCATCATACCTCCTGATTCAGAACATATTACAAGTGACAGTAATGGAAACAGTGTGGCACTGACATACAGCTCTATAGACCAAAAGAACAGAACAGAGGCAGGAAATAAACCCACACAGTCAAATGATTTTGGCAAGTGTGGCAAGACTACACATTGGGGAAAGGACAGTCTCATCAACAAATGGTGCTGGGAAAACTCAATATCCAAATGCAAAAAAAATGAAATTGGATGCTTATCTTATACCATATACAAAATTCAATTCAAAATGATTTAACTCAAAAAAAAACTTAAATGTAAGACCTGAAACTATAAATCTATAAACTTAAAGGAAAAGCCTCATAACCTTGGTCTTGGAAATGATTTCTTGGATATGAAACCAAAAGCTCAAACTAAAGCAAAATTAGACAAATGGGACAACACACTAAAAAGTTCCTGCATAGCAAAGAAAACAATAAACAGAGTGAAAAGATAATCTATATAACAGGCGAAAATATTTGCAAACCATGTGTTAAATAAACCCACACAGTCAAATGATTTTGGCAAGTGTGGCAAGACTACACATTGGGGAAAGGACAGTCTCATCAACAAATGGTGCTGGGAAAACTCAATATCCAAATGCAAAAAAAATGAAATTGGATGCTTATCTTATACCATATACAAAATTCAATTCAAAATGATTTAACTCAAAAAAAAACTTAAATGTAAGACCTGAAACTATAAATCTATAAACTTAAAGGAAAAGCCTCATAACCTTGGTCTTGGAAATGATTTCTTGGATATGAAACCAAAAGCTCAAACTAAAGCAAAATTAGACAAATGGGACAACACACTAAAAAGTTCCTGCATAGCAAAGAAAACAATAAACAGAGTGAAAAGATAATCTATAGAACAGGCGAAAATATTTGCAAACCATGTGTTTGATAAGAGATTAATATCCAAAAAATGGAAGGAACTCCTACAACTCAATAGCAAAAAAATAAATAATCCAATTAAAAATGAGACTTGAACCAACATTTCTTCAAAGATGTACATATGGCCAACGGGTCTATAAAAAGGATGTTCAGCAGCACTAATCACCAGGTAAATGCAACTCAAAATCTCAATGAGATACTACTTCACATCTGCTGGGTTGACCATTATAAAAAAAAAAAAGATAGTAATAAGTGTTAGTGAGGATATGGAGAAATAAGAACCCTTGTGCAGTTGATGGAAATGTGAAATGGTGCAGCTATGGAAAGCAATATGGAAGTTCCTTTAAAAAATTAAAAATACAACTATCATATGACCCAGTAATTCCACTTCTGGGTATTTATCCAAAAGAACTGAAAACAGTATCTTGAAGACGTATCTGCAGCATTGTTCATAACAGCCAAGAAGTGAAAACAAGCTAAACGTCCATCAATAGATGAATGGATAAAGACAATGTGGTGTATGTGCACATATGTAAGTATAAATATATACACATACAATGGAGTACTATTCAGCCTTAAAAAAGAAGTCTTGTCATATGCTACAATAGGGACAAACCTTAAAGTTATTATGCTAAGTGAAATAAGCCAATCATAGAAGGACAGATACTACATGATGCCACTTACATGAGGTATCTACAGCAAACTCACAGAGGCAGAAAACAGAATGGTGGTTGCCAGGCTGGTGTAGGGGGTGGAGAAAACGGGCAGTTGCTACTCAATGGGTATATAGTTTCAGCCACACAAGGTGAAAAAGTTCTAGAGATCTGCTACATAACAATGTACATACTGTTAGTATAATGTGCTATACACTTAAAAATTTGTTAAGAGGGTGGAGTTCATGTTTTATGTTTTATATAATAATAATTTAAAAAACAGTAAAAAAAAGTCACTCATCCAAACCCAGTGATAGTTCTCATTAGTTGAATAGCTACTTAGTCCACCAGTAGCAGCTGAGGGAACTCAGCTTGTAGCCTGGATAGGGAAAGTCCTACTGCTAGTACACATTGCTATAAAACAACAAGAAAGCATAGTGTTAAGTGCGAAAGGAAGTTCTTGCCCCAGATATCTGCCAAACTTTTCCTGATGCTGTTCACAGATATTTATACCTTTGCTCTCTAGGTATAGTTGCTTAAATAATTTAAAAGCTGTTCTTTTTTCTGTGAAGTGGAAAGAAAGATTAAAATCTGCCTTCTGGTCCCAGAATTGACTTCCAAAGTATGCACTGGAGATAAACTGTATCTGAAGTAGTAGTTCCAGTATGCAATTAGAATTTCTCCAAAAATATAAATGATAATAACTAAAGCATGATCAAATTATAAAGTTTATATGGTAACTACAAAAACCCATTTCATTTCTCAAAAAAGAAAAAAGTTTAAGAATGATTTCAAGTGTAGGTAGAAAAGGCATAACTATAAAACAAATAATACCTAGCTAATTTAAGAATAAGAGACTTCAAATAGAACAAAATTTACAAATGTGCTCAAGGTTCCTTTTCAAATCCCCATCCTCTCTAGCAATGTCCTCCTCCTGTTTCTTTCAATACCCTCCTTCCAGCCACATTCCCATATGTTTTGTTTTTACTTACCATCCTTTCACTTTAACTTACTTTTTTATGACTGGAAGAAAGAACAGATGCTTCTAAAATGGGCTCCCAATTTCCTTGGTGGCTGTCATTATCACCATTTCTTGTACCATCAAGTTGGTGCCCTTTTCTGAGCCTTATATCTGGCTCTGGAGTCCTGCTGCACCCCAATCGGTTTTCTACTGTCTCATTCATGAGATAAAGCCCTTCTTACAAAGAGGTCTTTCTGTCCCTTCTCTTGGGAAGATGAACTTTCAGGATAGTGAGTTGACTCTAAAGAGAGGAAAGTTGTGAATTAACATTATTTTGAATAAACACATTAAATGAGTGCTGGGGAGGCTACAGATGATATTATTATACACTCAACAGACTACTCGGCAATCATTAAGAACAATAAAACAATAATGTATTAAGAAACACTCATTTGCTGATAGGAAAGACTGTCAAAATCTATTTTTAAATGAAAAAAGCAGGATAGAATATGTATATGTCCCCACTTACCTGTTATAAAAAATGTGTATTTGCATGTAGCAAAACTACCAGAAAATACTCAAAATTGTGCACATTGGTACAGAAGTGTGAGAAATGTAGAAGGGAAGAAAAGACCCAAGGTCTGGAGTGAGAAGACTTACTTTTCCTTTGGTTCTACCTGCATTTTTCTTAACAAATACTACACATCACTTTTTCAATTAAAAACATACCTAACTGTAGGAAGGATATATGTGGGTTTTATGCATTGTAGCTGGGTTTTATAATATCCAATCTCACTTAAGCACCACAATGACCCTATAGGGTATTTTTATTTCTACTGTTCAGGTGAGGAAACCAAAACTCACCGTACTTTGTATCAAATAAATAGGAAAATCTCTGACTTACGTAACAGATATTGGTAATGTTTTGCTTTTAAATGGCTTAGTGTATGACATTTCTGTCTTTTTTAGTTGTTTTGAACTCTAGACTACCCTGGAAAGCAAGAAACTTAGGACCAGAGCATACTCCTTTTATATCCCTGTGAGTTCTCAGAAAGTTATATGCACAAAAATATTTAATGAGCATTTGATAGATGATATTTAAATGCTCTTCAGTGGTAAAAACACTTTCAAAAATCATTAATACCTCTCTAAACTGGATTGCAGTAAGTTTCCTAGGAGTTCCGATTATTTCAAGTCCTTCGCCCTCTACTTAACTCACAGTACAAAAGCTTATTCTAGACATTTAGTTACATATTCAAATAAGGCAATCATCATAGCCAATCCAATCAGATATACTAAAACAGGAAGAAGCCAGGGTATATGTCATGCTCAAATATCCCACGAGAGTCAAAGTTCTTAATTGAAGGAAGGTCTGAATGTTTATATACATGGTGTTTATATACATGGGTACACAGACCAAGAATTAGCCCAAGAATTCAAATTAGACTGAGAATTAGCCAACAGTTCGTTTCACAAATAATGACAGTTCACTGCAGGATTTCTCTAAGGGCTTTCAAACTTTTGGGAGCAAGCACAAACACAAATCATTAAGGATCACTAAACCCAGGCATATGCGTATCATATAAAGGCCTGGGCAAGCATATTATAATAACCAAGATTATAAACACTGCTGTTAATGCCCAATTATGAAAAAAGAAACAATGCTAATGGTTTACATTTATTTATTTACATCCCACACAGCTATTTCACACCCATTTCATTTTGTTTCAGAGAACAAAGAAATAACATTTATAGTTAACATTTATTTATTGTTAAAAATTAATTTCTGTGGGGTTTTTTCTACACAACAATAGTAGTAGTAAAACTCCTTTCGGATTCCCAGACCTGATTCCAGTGTGTGTGTTGGGGGAAGGGTGTCTCCCACACACAATACCAAGCAATTCTCTAACACTAGCAGGGTGTCCGAGAACTCAATTCTGATGCTATCTGCCCAGAGACAGCACCAGGTTCCCCATGTTAAAGGCTCCGGCTTACAAGATTGCCTCCACCCCTCACTCCAGACACCAGTCAGTCACAAGCCCCAGGCAGTTTACCTGTGCTTCTGATCTACTAGCTACAGATTAGAGGTTCCCACAACCTCCCCATTAGGTTCGATTAATTTGCTAGAACAGCTCACAGAACTCAGGAAAACAGTTACATTTGCCACTTTAATAAAGGATACTGTAAAGGATACAAGTTAACAGCCAGATGAAGAGATAATATAGGGCAAGGACCCAAATAAAGGAGCCTCTATCCTTGTGGAGCTTGGGGTCTGGCACAGTGGCACATGGAAGCTTTCTGGCTCCCCAAGCCTGGAAGTTATTTCCAATAGAGAAGCAGGATCCAAGAAAACAATACACTCCCTTTCAGGTTTTTGTGAGGGCTTCAGTGCATGGTCAGGACTGACTAAATCACTGGCCACTGGCTGATTCAACCTCTAGCCTCTGCCCCTGGGTGGGGTCCAAAAGTCTTTAAATGACATGACAAGACACCCAGGCCCTTTAACGGCTCTGCAGTGTTCTCAGGAACTATGGATGAAGAACAAATACACCTGGGAAATATATATTTGATCACCTAAATGACCAATGTATTTCTTATGGCTCACTATATCGCAATTTTTATACCACAGAATTTACATGTGAGATCTCATATAATATTTTATCCCCCTTTACAAATGTAGAAACTGAGGCTCAGAGATTAGGTAATTTATTCAAGCAATGGTTAGTCTATAAAGAGGAGCAGCTGTGATTTATACCCAGATCTTTCTGGCCCTCGTGAAGTTCATGTGCTTTCCACCACCCAAAAAAAAACTAAGACTAGGGAAAAAAAAGATACCACCTTGAATATCAAAGGCATTTTTGTTTACATAGCAAATAAAGTACAGAATCAGAATCTTTATCCTCAGAATGTAGCCAAGTAGAATAAGGCCTTCAGCAAAATAGCCTTGAAATATGGCCACACTATGTATGAGCTGGAGCTATATGGAGTCGTGCTGCTCACTTATGAGAATATAAAGGGAATGCTCTATTAATCAGAATTGTTTATTAATTAGAATTTCTGAACCCAGAAAAAGAAAGCAAATGACAAGAAATAAATTTTCCCAAGGAATCTGTGAATGATTCTCCTTAAAATAAAAAGAAATAAGAAAATCAGTTTCCAAGAAAGGCCTGATTATCAATATACATTCCTGTATCAACAATGTTTTCTTAAATTTACAAGGACAATAAAAGAATTAATGAAATAAGACATTGTAAAATCTTCAATCAGAAGTCTAATTATATTTACCACTTTACGTATAGTAAAACAGGAATGCCTATCAATATTATTTCAGTTTCAATAATATAATCGTTGGAAGAAAAAGCACCTATCAACCCGCAGGTTCCCAAAAACCTAACAAAACACCCCAATCCTATAACACCTGAGAGAACTGCAATTTACTATACATTTCAGCTTAAATTCTACTTAGTAATAAAAAGAATCCCTACAAGGATGCAATGCCTTGACAGCAAAAGCAATTAACTTAGACTCAAGTTAAGTTAGAGGGAAGGTGAAGGTGTCCTTTATCATCAACATTATTTAACTCTGTACTGGAGGTTTTAGACAAACAAAAGGAAAAATATGAGGGTGTGGGTAAAATTGTAACATTTCCAGAATATCTCGCCTGGCTTTAGTATGTATATCTGCATATCAAAGGTGTTCAGAGGTGGAAAGAAGTATGGTTTTAGTGCATTTGCATTATTCCTCAGGGGTGGAGAGAAATTCATCTCCATATCAATGGGTAATTACCTGGGCAAGAAGGGCTTATCAGTACCTGAGAGGTGCTGGGGAGGGCCGGTTTTGGCTTCTGCTGGAGCAGGAAAGAGAGAAACGGCCCCAGACTGCAGTTTGTGAGCAATAAACGGATATTAAACTTTATTTCTCCCTTTGACTGATTTCGGTTTTTAGAGGTATGTGGCCCCGGGATTTCCTCTCCCCAGACTTACAGAGGGGCATAAAACTTTTATTATATAAGGATTATATGACACCTTTGCTAAAAACCTAAAAGTATCAATCAACTGGAAAAAAAAGATGGTGAAAAATTTATCAAAGTGATTGGGCATAACATCAATAGATGGGTATCAACAGCCTTTATCCTAAAAGCCCACAATAAATTATAGAACAAATAAATCACAATTAAAAAAAAGATAAAATACTTTAAGACAAACCTTAAAATGCTACTGAATGTTACGCTGGAGGAAGGAAAAACAAGGACATGCAAACAGAACAGAGAGATGCCATTGGGGGAGAACAAACCAGACCTCAAGGTCCGTGCCTTACATGGAAAGAAGACAGCTCTTCCTGAATTCCATCCTTCTGATGTGACAACTAAGACCTGGATGTCAGTCTCCTCCCTCTTGGAAGGAAAAAAAGTTTCTAGTTGTCTATTATGTCACCTTTAGCCAATCATACCTCTCCACACCCCCTAGGATAGCTTGCCCACTCCTCCCCCTCCTAATCCCTTATAAGCCCCCACCTCCCTGACTAGGTGTGACTTCCCCAGCCTGTAGTACCCAGACCGTGGAACATCACCCGGGAGTGGCATTCAAATAAACTACCTGGCCCTTTGTTGCCTCTCTTCGCCTGCTTATTTCGGCTAAAATTTATCTTACACTGAAGATCTACAAAAACTCCAGGACTAATAAGTGAGTTCAGCAAGATCAACAGACAGAGCATCAATACTCAGACATCAATCACATTTCTACATGCTAAAAATAAACATGTGGAAACTAAAATTTAAAACAATACCATTTACAAATACTCCAAAGAAAGTTAAATACTTAAGTACACACTTAATATGTACAGGATCTGTCTGCAGCAAGTTACAAAATGCTGATGAAAGAAATCAAGGATGTAAACAATGAGCAACATACCACATCCATGGACTAGAAGACTCAATATAGTAAAGATGTCAATTTTCCCCAAATTGTTCTATTGGTTTAATGCAATTCCTCTCAAGATCCTAACAAGGACTTCTGTAGATGAAGAAAGGTTTATTCAAAATTTATATGGAAGGCACAAGCACTAGAACTAAAAACAATCTTGAAAAATAATAAAGTGGGAAGAATCCCTCTATCTAATATGAAGGCCTACTACCTACTACATAGCT